ATGTGTGTAGAAGCTCCCCTATGGTAAAGAGGTAAAATGTCTTCCCCCCTAGCCCTGATGTGTGGCCCCCAGAAGTTTAGTCTCTTTGTCCTTTTCCCACGCAAGCGCCCAGAGGTGTTGTCCATGGAGATATGTTTACAAAAGGCATCCTCCATCCATGGCTCCTCCCAGTTCCCTTCTGTCTCCTCCGTTTTCATTGTTCCTTTAGCAGGATGCTGGCTTGGCTGCGAGCTACGTCAAAGTCATCCGTCAAAAATATGGAAATGGTTAACACAACACACAACGCAAATGCAGAGAGAGGGAGAGAGAGAGAGAGAGAGAGGTCTGGAACAATGTGCTATTTTGAAACTGCATGCCAAAGCCGGGTGGGGGGCGAGGGAGATTAACTGTGCCCCAAAGCTGTGTCTATTTCAGCAACAAAAATAATAATCCCTTGTTACAAAGAAAGAAAACAGTCATTTAATTCTGAAGAATCTACAGGGCAGGAGCAAGTTCAGCTCCTTAGGCACAAGCTGTGAACTACGAGAAAAGAGCTGGAAGAGACGGAATAGAGGGAACATTTGTACCTATTGGGTTGCGTCCAGTGTGAGTCTTACTCAGAGCAGACACATTGGTGTCAATGACTGGCGAGGGTTCATTTATTTCACTGGGTCTCTCCTGAGCAGAACTTAGGCTAAATTCACATAGCAGTCTATTCCATTTCCCCACTGTTTCCCAAACTTTTAATTTCTACATCGCATGATGTAAAAACCAGAAAACTTATAGAATAAAGCACATATTTAGTGCTCATTTCTGTGTTGTCTGATTCCAGGAAAAACCTGTTTGCAGCTTCCTTGACTTCGTAAATCAAGTGACAAAATTTGGGGAGGTATCCCAGCATACAATACTTTCACGCTGTTTTCAGGGGTGAATCATTGGGGGGACGGACAGGCATGTGTGGAAAGTGTGGGGGAGCGATGCTGTTCAATGATGTTCATTGCTGTGTCACACAATGCCTACTGGTGTGGAAGAAATTTATGAATGAATGCTGGTTGCTGGAAACCACAGAGGAGGAGAGTGTTCTTGTGCTTGGGTTCTGCTAGTGGGCTTCCCATTGAGACATCTCCTTGGCCATCGTGGGAACAGGATGCCGGACTAGATGAGCCATTGACCTGATGTAACAGGGATGATGGGAGTTGTAGCCCACCAACATCTGGAGGGAACCACTGTGATTAGCTGTTAGCTCAAGCAGGACATCCCACCCGCCCCCCTCATTTTCTGCAGCCCATATTTTGTATTGATCTATCAGTTTATAAGAGATGATCTATTAATATGAGATGCCATATATCCACAGCAGCAATAATATCTGCAAAAGGGATATTTTTATTTGTGATACCTATTACATAGGGTGAAGGGAAGCAAAAAAAAATGTTTAAAGGCTCCCACAGGCTATTTTTTACAATATATATCACAGCAATGATTCTATACATCATCTACTAATTCATTAATCCATTATCTTTATGTATTTCATACTTTTAGGAATTCTGATCTCTTCAGACACCATATCTTACATCCTTTTGGCTAACAGGGTATTTTTTGCAATTATTTGTCCCTTGTGAATAGATGAATTGTATATTGCTCTCATTATTTTAGAACAAATAAACTACACCTTGCCACATATATGTTCTCAATTTGCCTCCCACCACTAATTCTAATGATATTTGCTACCTTAACTACATAAGCTACATTTTCACACTGAGATGTGAAGGCAACTTGGGGCCTTGTGCTGTACACTTAGGAATGGGAAAATTTTTGCTCCAGCTTGCCTTTCTGATGAGAAACTACCTAATTTAGGCTGCTGCTTCTTCTTCTTCTTCTTCTTCTTCTTCTTCTTCTTCTTCTTCTTCTTCTTCTTCGTCAACTACAGAATGCACATTTAACACATCAAAATTAACACAAAAATTGCCTTAAACATTTGAAAAGAAAACATTACTTAAGGGTGTCAACTATGAAATGCACATTTAAAACAGCATAATAAATAAAAATATTATCATAAGCACGGAATGTATCTGCTGCCATTGCTGCCAATCCTGCCAATGGTGGTTTGTGATAGCTGTGGAAGCTCGGGCTCCATGACCTGTGTCTGCACTAAGAGACATCTGATATGGTCTCTGGTCTCTTCAGTAGCCTCAGCTCTTGTAGCTGGAGTCAGTCAGGGGCCCCACCCTCCCAGGCCAGGTGGAAGAAAGGCCTACAAGCAAAGAAAAGGTCTTCCAGGACTCACAGCCAAGATGGTCTCTCCAAATGGGGAGTGAGTGTTTCGCATCACCTGTAAAAGTCCCAGTTCCAAACACCAAGTAGGCATATATGGAATATTTGATCTTAAAGACAAACTGGTCCCAACCTGTTCAGAGAAACTACTAGCAACACCTTGAACTTGGCTTGGTAGCAAACAAGCAACCAGCACAGATCTCTGAGCTCAGGAATTATATGCTGACAGAATGCCTAGGGCACCACTGCAATTTGCTCAATAAAGGCATTCAAAACTTAGAGTTTTGTCCGTCCTTGCACATGCACCACAGCTCCAATTGGCTGTTTTCTGAGTTTTGCCCAGCTTCTAAGAAATACAAAACAGCATTCACTGTGCCAGATGCAACACAGCTCATTATCAGGCACAAATACGTTCAGCACACACCAGCAATCTGTAGGCTTGGTGAGAAAATAGGTGTTGCACCCATTACAATGGTACACTAGGTTTCTTTCCACAGGTCTTACCCAAATGCATGCCAGATCCCCATTTTGGCTTCACAATGTGTCTTGAGAAAACAGTCACATTTGCCACTTTTTGTTGTTCCTGTTTCAGCTTTGGCACCTTCGTATGTTATTGCTACATCTATGGAGGAAGCGATGAAGCTGATTTGGGAATCAGACACTGGGGAAACCAACTGAAGGTTAGGCAAGTTGTGGCAATGAATAGCCAATAAACCTGCTTGCTGCTAGGACCCCACGTAGTTCAGCAGACTGATGTCATCATACGCTGTGGAAGGGCCATAACTCAGTGGAAGGGCCATTGGCGGTACAGTGGTTAGAGGCTCAGACTAGGACCCAGAGGACCGTGGTTCAAATCCCCACTCAGCCATTTGAAGCATACTGGGTGAGCCTTGGGAGCCAACCTTTCACCCACAGCCTATCCTACTTCAGAGGGTTGTTGTGGATTAAATGAGGAGGTGGGGAGAACCAGGAACACCACTTTCAGCTTCATGGAGGAAAAAGGTGGTGTGTGTGTGTGTATACGTGACTTGACATCTTTCCGCAGGGCCTGCAAGACAGAGCTGTTCCACCAGGCCTTTGGCCAAGGCACAGTCTGACCCCCTCTCTCCTTCTGTAATCTTCATAGAACTCTAACCCAATGGTTGCCATTAATTTGATTCTGAACTGATTTTAAAATGTATTTCAATTAATTGACTGTGATTTTATGTAAATTGTGCTATTTTTGCTGTTGTTAGCCGCTCTGAGCCTGGCTTTGGCTGGGGAGGGCGGGATATAAATAATTTATTATTATTATTATTATTATTATTATTAGGATGGGGACTTCACATCTGGAAGCTAAATGCAGCCCTCTAAGGTTCTCTGGCAGGCCTGCCAGGGCTGCCCCAGGCTGTGCCCCCTGCCAGCCCTACTTCATACCCACAGCCGACCCAGGACATTTTTCTGCTTGAGGCAAACAATAAAATGGCATTTCCCCTCCTTGCAACCAGACCTGGGGTAGCATCCATTGGTGTTCCTCAGCTGATGGTGAGACCTCCATCAGCAGAACGGAAAGGAAAGAAATATTTTGGGCAATTCCTATCCGCTCTTGTAGCCCCTACACCTGTAAATCTGCTCCAGCGGAGAAGAGATGTTGCCAAAAAGAAAGAAAGGTTGCTCCCCTCCCTGTTTTGCTATCAGAAGGCTTACCATCAGCTGAGCAGCATCACTGCATCCACCCCCATGTTTCCATGGACTTTGGATTCTTTTCTCCCCCCAAATAATATTTATTATTTTCAGTAGATAAACATAATAAAAAAGAAGAGATTAACAATAATAAAGACATACAAAAAATAGGAGAAAAAGAGAAAAAAGATACATACAACGTATTACCACTTAATTAATTAAAATTAAGTATCATCCATCTTCATAAACATAGTATTTGACTTCCTCGAATCTCTTCCATCCAAATTTCTTTGTAATTACGGTATATGCAGCAGTTTCCAATATCAGTGTTTCAAAAGACCATATTACAGTCCCAATCATATTCTTGTTGACTTTGAACACTTCAAAACCTGCAGGTTTATGGACACCTACAAACGATTCAATTAAACAGGGCGTAATTAGCTGTGCATTTCACACAACCATTTATTTATGACCATGTGGCATCTCGGTTTCATGAGGTCGGGTGCATCTGGGACCTTCTTAGAGCAAAGTGGATGCCCTAACACCGAGCTGCAGTGATGAGAAGAACAAGAAGAATGGTCCTGATCCTGCAGAGGGAGACTTTCTGAATGCGCCTTGCGTGACACAATCGGAGAAACCCTTGACCTAGAATTATCTTCAGAATCGGCTGATCTCGATCTTCGTCTCCAACTCCTACTGGTCTAGATTTATGTTTGTCTCCTACTTATCTAGCTTGGCTGCCAAGGGAAAGTACAAGCCATGGCAGAGCAGACTATCATTTACTCCCACCCATGATGCAGCTATGCAAAGCAGGCATCCTCTGTGTTCAGGCATGAATCTGCGCCCACTTCTTAAGTCATAAGTTAAGAGTCTGCAGGATCAGGCCAGTGGCCCATTTAATCCAGCCTCCTGTTATCCCAGCGGCCAACCAGTTGCCCCAATGAAAAGCATACAAAAAGAACCTGAGCTTGTGTACTCTCCACTTCTGTAGTTTTCAGCGACTGGTATTCAGGGGTAACCCACCTCTAACAGTGGTGGCAGAACACAAGAGCTATGGCTGGTTGACGTTGATCACCCTATCTTTATCTGGCAGGGAAGAGCCATAGCTCAGTGGTAGAGCTTCCGCCTTGCAAGCAGAAGGTCTCAGGTTCAATGGGACTGTGGTCTAAACCACTGAGCCTCTTGGACTTGCCAATCAGAAGGTCGGCGGTTCAAATCCCTGCAACAGGGTGAGTTCCAGTTGCTCTGTCCCAGCTTCTGCCAACCTAGCAGTTCAAAAGCATACCAATGCAAGTAGATAAATAGTGGGGTGGGATGGTAAATGGTGTTCCTGTGAGCTCTGGTTTCCATCACGGTGTTCCATTGTGCCAGAAGCGGTTTAGTCATGCTGGCTACATGACCTGGAAAGCTGCCTGCAGACAAACACCGGCTCCCTTGGCCTGAAAGCGAGATGAGCGCCACAACCCCATAGTTGCCTTCGACTGGACTTAACCATCCAGGAGTTGGCACCTATGGATGGGCCAGTGATCTGACTTGGTATAAGACTGTGTCCTATGCTATTAACAGGATGGCAAAATCTACAGAATCATTATTCATAATTTTGTATGGTTGTTTCCCCCCTCCCACGTAAGGCTGGGTGAGAAATCCTACGTTATGAATGTAAGAAAAACAACTTGCAAATGCATTTTGGACTTCTTTTTTTGCCAGTGCAACTGGTCATTGTAGACAACACTGAACTAGATGGACCAGTGGGTAGAGGACTGCAGCCTTAGTGATGGGGCAGAGACTAAACTACATGCACTAGGTCCCAGGTTTGATCCCTGGCATCTCCAGGTATGGCTGAGAAAATCTCCTGCCTGAAATCATCAGTAGATAATACTGAGATAAATATTATACTTTATATTATTTAGTCTACTAAAAGCCAAGTGGAGCAAATGGATATTCCAAGCTTCATTTAGAGACCGCTACTAAGGAGTCCAGCTATACATTACAAGGGGGGTGTCATTCCATTAAACCAAAGGCCATCACTAAGAAGGCCCTGTATCTCCTGCCCACTAACCTAACAGATCTACTGAACATAAGAAGAGCCCTGCTGAATCAGACCAATATCTCAGCAAATGGATCTCCAAGGCTTCTTCTGAAGGGTACTGCTGAGGAGCCCAGCTACTCATCCCAAGGGAAAGCATTTCATAAACTAGGGGCCACCACTGAGAAGGCCCTGTTACCTACTGCCCACCAATCTAACAGATCTATTGAGCTAGATGGACCAATGGGCACAGGATTGTAGCCTTAGTTACAGCTTGGGGACTTAAGCTCATGTCAAAGGTCTAAGGTTTGATCCCCACCATATCCAGGGAGAGCTGGGAAAGACTTTGCTCTAGAACCCTGGAGAGCCATTGCCATTCAGTGCAAACAAAAATGAACCAACTAGACCAATGGGACGACTTAGTATAAGGCAGTTCCTTATGTTCTTGCCTTGTGAATCAGATGGGAAAACCCACGGAATTGCAATTCATCAATTTTGACGGTTGTTTTTTTCCCTCCAACAGTTGCCTTATCCCTATCTAATCAGGGGGAAGTTTCCTGTGTTTGTTCTCAAACATTCGCCCCGCAGAAATGATAATGATCATTGCACAGCGTCAACCCAAGAATGCTAGGAAGCAGCACCCAGCAAGCATAAGCCTGGGAGACAAGGGAGTGAACAGCGAAGGAACCCCAGGGGAAGCTCAGGATGGGAGGAGTTGGCATCATTCTGGCCGATGTCCTGTCTTTAAAAATAAACCTGAGCATCTAAACACAGATGGGCTCAAGCTAAAATTAAAACCCTTGTTTCCCTGTCCACTTCCTTCCATCTTCCTTCCACTGCTTTGAGCTATAGATAGGAATCACAGAGTCTTTCCCGGTTCTCATATTTATTTGGATACACTTGCTTCAGCAGACCTCAAAGAAGGTTAACTATGGAATGACATGGTCCAAGGATGCCAAATGAAAGATTGGGGCTTGATCGGATTCAGATCGAAGGCTACTAGGCCCCATGGACATGTTCTACCACCACTAGGTGGGTCAATATCACATTTTTTGGGAACCACAAGTGAGGAAACCACTGTTGAGCACTGGTTTTGCTTATGGGCTTCTGATGGGCATTTGTTGGCCACTGTGAGAACAGGATGCTGGACTAGATGGGCCATTGGTCTGGTCCAGCACGTTCTTCTCACACTTATACTTCTGCACACTTCAGGCCACATTCATATTCTGGACTACTATGTCCAGTGCTTGCTTCCATTCTCCAAGAAGTCCAATGAAACACTGGAGCATGTCCAGAGTGGGGTGACCAGGACACTGAGGGATCTGGAAACCAAGTCCTATGAGGAATGGCTCTGAGAGTTAGATTAGAGGAAGATATGAGAGTGGTCTTCAAATATCTGGATGCCTGTCATGTAGAATATATGTCAGACTTTCCTTCTGTTGCCTCAGCAGGAAGGACCAGAATCATTCCTTGGAAATTATAGGGCAGCAGACTTTGGCTAAACATTAAGAAAAACTTCCTGATGGTTCAATAATGAAGCAAACTGCTTTAGGCAGTGATGTGCTTTCATTCAAGAAGAGTCTGGACAGGCATCTCTCAGAGATGTTGTGGCTGCATCCTATAGCACTGATCCTGTGCTGCTAGCTGGGGATCAACTTATATTATGAGGGCAATGAGTTATGGCTGCTGTTCTTCTTTATCTTTTCAGTGCTCTTTTAGTTGGGGGTGTGGGTAGGATGGGCCCTTTCCTAAATATTCTGAGATGAGAATGTTTAGGTATTGTGTTTTATGATTGTTTCCTGTGGAGTTTTCATGTATCGTTTTGGGTCACTCTTCTCTATGTGAAGGGCGATGAATGAATGCAATAAAAAATTAGAATAGATAAAATTGTGCAGGGTAGGGTGCATAGTTTTAACTATGCAGCACGTAGTTAAATTACAGAATTCGCTCCCACAGAAGGCAGTGATGACCACCAACTTGGATGGCTTTGAAAGAGGATTGGATGCATTTCTGGAGTACAAGGCTATCAATGGCTATTGATAGCCACGGTCAGAGGCAGTAATGCATCTGAATACTAGTTGCTGGAAACCACAGGAAGGGAAAGTGTTCTTGTGCTTGGGTCCTCCTTGAGGATTCCCCCCAGGCATCTGGTTGGCCCTTGTGAGAAGAGGATGCTGGACTAGATTGGCCACTGGCCTGATCCAGCAGGGCTTCCCATTGGGGCATCTGGTGGCCACCTTGAGGTCAGGATGGTGAACACAATGGGCTTTTGACCTGGTCTATCAGACTCTTATTATGGTCTTATTTATGATTTGAGTATTTCTTCAGCTAGGCATAATTCCTGACAATTGTGGCACTGAAACAGCTTCAAGAAAACCATCCAAAGGGGTGACGAATGCCCTCCCCGTCCATTTCCTTCTATACTGTGCACCCATTCAGGGCTTTCGGTTAAACGTGGCTCAAGACAGCAGGCTGGCACATGCATGTCAGTTCGGCAGCTGGCAAATAGTTCATCCCATCTGCCTATCAAGCGAGGGCATCCATCCAGGTCACTGCCATGCCAAGTGCTAGCCTGAGAAACTGAACATCCAGCGAACAATGGAGCAGCCAACCCGTCCTACTGTACCTGGATCCAGTTCCAGGTAAGAATTCTCCTCCCCTCCAGCTACCAACTGCCTTTGCTGGGGCCATTGGAAGGCCAGGAGGTGTGAGGTACCCATCCCTCATGTTGTGACTTGATGCTCAGTAGCATTTCATATTTTAATTTCTGCAGGTGACTTAGGAAGACAGGTTTTTTTTGGCTATATACATTCAGTTCATAAATCCCTCTGTAGTTGAGTGCAAGGAAACACTTGAGATCCAGGCCAAATTAATAATTGTAGCAACTCTGCTGCCCTTTTTTCGCACATGGCAAGCACACCTCTTCACGATTTCCCCACCAGGTGACATCTTTCTGCTGTAAACGGGCCACTGCAAATCTGCTGATGCAAGAACTGCCACGTTACCTTCAACACAACAGAGTCGGTTTGCTCAACTCACCTTCTACTATGGATTTTTTTTAAAAAAATAATGCACAAAAATATGCACGCTTGATGGAAGCCAAGGGTGAGAAGCAAAGCAAAGCATTGAAGCTGGAATCAATGTATACAGGTGACAGCTCAGTGGCAGGCCATGTAGGAAGATAGGAAGCTGCTGAGTCAAACCCACTGGTCCATCTCATGACTGTCTGTGCTGACCGGCAGTGGTGATCAAGCTTTTCAGATTAAGACATCCCCAGCCCTACCTGGAGATGCCGGGGATTGAACCTGGGACCTTCTGCATGCAAAACAGAAGCTCTGCTACTGAGCCATGGCTCAGTTGGTTAGAGCATGGTGCTGATAACACCAAGGTTTGATTCCTGTATGGGACAGCTGCATTGCAGGAGGTTGGACCAGATGATCCTCAGGGTCCCTTCCAACTCTAAAATTATCTGATTCTATATATAATGCAAGAGGACTTATATTCAAGCAAACATAGCTAGGCTTTCTGCAGCTTAGGAACAGAGGTTGTTGTCAGACCATTGGGTCCATCCAGTTCAGCATTGTCTACACTGAATTGCAGGATTCCACCAGGGACTTCAATATCCAATTCATTATTTTTACACGAGTGGTAAAGAGGGAATTGGAGACTTTGTAGGCACCAGAGGAAGACCTTGTGCTTGCAGGTGCCACACTGGAACACCAGAATTTAACAAATCAGTGTAATAGGACAATAAGCACTTTTACTCTGACATGTGTAATCAAATTGCTTTTTTGGTCATATAGCTTGCTACTTTCAGCTGTCCTTAAGTAAATGAAAAGAAGGGTGAACTAGTAACCTGTCCTGTTCTGATGCATATTTACCCAAAAGCAAATCCCATTCTCCATATATCATATCATATATTATATTTATATGCATAGATAACTTGTACATGCACAATAGGTTTTAATGATGTAATTCTAACCCCACCGTTCAATACAATTTACACTCAAGTAATTCTGTAGCAACAAGGTATCGAAAAATCTGTCCATTTCAGTTTCTCTCAGTTCCTCATTTCCCCAGCTGTAAATTCCATTCTCCTCATCTCTGCAACCATTTGCTATTTTCCTTACACACAAAAAACCCTCATGAAAATTCACCAGCATTTTTGTGACAATTTCAAACGAACACATATTTAGTTTTGACTAAAGTGCAAGCAATTCCCCATAGTATATGCATTCTTACACAAATAGGTTGGGGAACTGAATTGCAAAATTTGGAGAAGTGCAACTTTTGAAGAATAGCTCTGTTTCGATTCGCACGCTGGTTCAAGAAATGCAAATCAGCTTGTTTCTCCTTAAAAGGCAAGCAAAATCAAATCCTGCCCCCCACCCTCAATCACCCCATAAGTCCATGGTGTGTGAGTACTGTGAGGAGGTTAAAACAAGCTAGCTATTCACCTGTAAAGTATTTAAACACCCACTATTGAAGGTCTTCAAACCGAACTTCCAGTTCCTATCAATTGTGCAGGACTGTTGCATATCCATTTCTGATTTTTCAGTCCTGCTGAGCTTGAAAAACAAAGGTGTCTTCATGGCAGACAATGGGGAACTGTTTTCCTTAATGAAGAACAGTTGAGAGCTATGGAGACAGCACCCACTCTGCAAAGGAACGAAGGCTGTGAGCCTAAGCAATGCACTCTGGCTAATGAACACCAGTTGAGAGGTGCCGGCAGCTCCTAACAGCAGCCTTTTCTATTGGGAGGGAGGGAAGAGGGGGCTGTCTTATTCCTTTCTTCCTTTCTTCCATTGAGCCCTAGGTTTTTCCTTCTTTTTTTGAGAAGGGACAGTAACAGAGGGGGGAGAGTGCTTAGGGTCATCTGTCACTGTGATGGCTCCTGACCTGACAACCTCTCGAGTCACGCTCTTTGACCTCTGGGGTCGACTTCTCCAACCAAACACGGATGCTTAGCCAGAAGTTCTCTATTGACTACCTGTCAGAGGGCACCTGCTCCAAGAACCTCCTTCCCACCCCACCCCGAGGAATTAGCCACTAAACGGGTCGCTGGGGAATCATTCGTGAGGAGAAGCCATCATTTAGACTCCACCTGGGAAACCAATCCTCCTAATTACCTGGCTGAAGAAGCTCATGTTTTAGGCTTGTCCCCTCTATCTTTCACTCCTTTGTTATCTCTCATTCTTTGGTTCACACATTCTTTGAGTGTGTGTGTGTGTGTATGTGTGTGTGTGTGTGAGAGAGAGAGAGAGAAATATAGTGACAGAGTTAGAGAGCTATCCTCTCTCTCACTCTCTCTCACATACATTTTCTCTAACATATACTTTTGCTCTCCAACACACATACACAGACTCGCTCTCCCTCCCCTCCTGTTCACAATCTCTCTCTCTATCTCCCCCCCTCTCTCTCACACACACATTCTTTCTCTCACACCCCTCTGTTACGCACCCACACCCACACACGTTATCTTTTCCTCCTCACACAAATTTTCTTTCTCTCCCACACAGTTTAGTTCTCTCTCCCACACCTCTCTCTGTTACACACACACACACACACACACACACACACACACACATTTCATTTCATTTCTATGCCACCTTTATCTTCTAAGGATCTCAAGGTGGTGTACATGCTTCTTCTCCTGACCATTTCATCCACACAACAATCCTGTAAGGTAAGTTAGTTAAAGAGGCAGTGCCAGGCCCAAAGTCACCCAGCGAGCTTCATGGCTGAATGAGGATCCAGACCTTGGTCTCCCAGGCCAGGTCCCAGTCCAACACGTTAACCACTACACCACACCCTCCCTCTCTCTCTCTCTCGTTCTCTCCCACACCCAAACCCTCACATCCATTCTGCCTCACACCCTCCCTCCCTCTCACTCACTGTCTCTCTCTCACATTCACACGCTTACATAAGACTTTCGAAGTGGGCAACAATTTGAAACGGCAACCGAGACGCTATGTAAAGGTGCAACTCAAACCAAAACAGAACACCAGCATTGGTCCAAGGCACTGTTCCACCTGAGGCAAAGGACGAGATGTCCTCACCCCCGCAGCCACATAGACAAAAGCCAACTATCCGAGAAGCTATATTTCACTTGAACCCTGGCACAGAAGTGCCAACTTGGGAGGGAGATTGCGGGGGCCGACATCACCTGTGTGACATCATGCATGATGTCATGTGCATGACATCTTGAAAGAGCCGGGGGCCGGAGTCTAATGTGGCAGCAGCACGATTTCAATTGCCAATGGCTCCTCCTCATCCTGCCACCACCGCCATTGGCTGAGGGCTGCTTCCCCCCTCCTTCCCCTCCATGGCAGGAAGAGGAGCTGGCCATTGAAGCCGCACTGTGCTTCGCTCTACTCTTGGCCCTGATTTTTTGATGGCTATTCCCCACCCCCACCCCAAAAATGGGGCAGGGGCAAAAGGACTGGCCTCCCAGGAGTTGGTGCCCCTGTCCTGGTGACAATATGGCCTTGCATCCTGCCTGAGGACAACACTCCTGCTTAGAGGGTGCAGGGCAGGTTGCTAATGGATGAGCAATTGGGAAGGGGCTTAGGAGCAATGGACCAGGGGAAATGTCACTGCTGCACCCCCCCCCACTCCCCTGTAGCTCAGAGAAATCAGAGTCAGAGAAATTAGAGAAGACTGGCTGACTCTCCCTAAAGATGGGGCTGAGCTTTCAAAACCACTGAGTGTTTTCGCCAGGTTGGAATATGTCCTTGTTGCCTGCACTGGCTGCCCATCTACTACTGAGCTGGGTTCGAGGTGCTTTTTATTAAGCAACAAAGCCCTGAAGAACTTAGATCCAGCTGAGTAGCACAGTTGGTTAGAACACAGTGCTGATAACACCAAGGTTTCAGGTTCAATCCCTGTACAGTGGTACCTCGGGTTATGTACGCTTCAGGTTACATATGCTTCAGGTTACAGACTCCACTAACCCAGAAGTAGTACCTCGGGTTAAGAATTTTGCTTCAGGATGAGAACAGAAATCGTGCTCCGGCGGCGTAGCAGTAGCCCCATTAGCTAAAGTGGTGCTTCAGTTTCGGAACAGTTTCAGGTTAAGAATGGACCTCCGGAACGAATTAAGTACGTAACCAGAGGTACCACTGTATGGGACAGCTGCATATTCCTGCATTGCAGCGGGTTGGACAAGATGATCCTCTGTGTCCCTCCCAACTCTACAATTCTATGATTCTATGAAACCTAGGGACCACCTGACCCCGCTCAGTCCATAGCTGTCAAGTGTCCCTTATTTGAAGGGACAGTCCCTTATTCCAGCGCCATGTCCCGCTGCTGTCCTTTATTGATGGATGTCCCTTAAATGTCCCTTAAATGATGTGCCTTAAATTTCAAAGGAAGCAGCTCCTCTCCCTCCCTCCCTGCTGGCCAGGGAGGAGGGAGGCTTCAGCTGTGTTGCTTGGCTGTGTTGCTCACCCAATAAGAAGTCTAAGAATGACTGGGGGGTGGAGCTTGCATGCCTTGTGTGTGGCTAGTTAATGCAAGCTGAGGAGGTTTTTGAATGCTGGACACCATTTTGTTGCACGTGCTGCTGCAAACTTTGCAGTGCAAAGCCAGGCCGGGGAGCCATCTTAAGTTGAGGCTGCATAGGCCTTGTGGTGCATGTGATTCAGATTCTATTCAGTTGAACCTCTGGTTACAAAGTTGGTTGGACAGTGTTCTCAAAGCTACCAGCATGAGTTTGACCAGACTGCAGGAGGACAGGAAGACTGGAGTGCCTGGAACAGGTGAGGCTGCAGGTCCCTTATTTGGGCTGCTGGTCCCTTATTTTCAAATCTGTAAGTTGACAGCTATGCGCTCAGTCACTGGGATGATCTGCATGAGTACTGTTGGCTACCCCTCAAGTTGGTGATGCTCATTTGACCACATTGAGAAACTGAGTCTTTAATGTCTTTGGCCCATGCCTGTGGAACACCCTGCCACTAGATAATCAGCAAGCGCTTTCTGTTTCAGTCTTTTAATGCCTTCTGAAAGCTTTTCCAGGCCACCAGGTTTCTGCTGGCAGTTAAGGATACATTATGCCAGAATAATTAGTAATGCTATTCAGTTTTAAGTGTGTGTATTTATAAACAGCCGCGGATTTTTTTTTTATAAAAAAAGATATAGCCAGCTTGGTGTAGTGGTTAGAGTGATGGACCTGTGTTCTTGTTACAGGTGCTGATAGTTGTTAGGAGGCCCCATTCCCCGCCCAGAGCTACAATTTCCACAGTTCCCTGGAAAGAGGGATTGATTGTTAAGCCAAATTGTATTGCTCTATTCACATTGATTTTATGTAACCTGTTTAAAGATCTTATTATATTGAGTGGAGAACCTCAGGGAGTCGAACATGGCCCTCCATGCCTCTCTACAGGCTCTCAGAACTCTCTGTAGGCCACACCCACC